GACAAGGGTAACCATGTGTGCGGCCTCAGCACTACCCGGCACTTGCTCCAGGGACGTCTATGCTGCTCCATGATGCTAGCTGGAAACATCCTGTATCTTTTTGATTCCGAATTTGATCGCTTCGGCTTTCGGGACACTACATCGCGCTGTGCTGGCGTACGACTATTGCTTTTGTGACCGAGTGGTTTGCCCTTCTCTCCCCTGTTGCTGCTTTTTCACTTTCTCATTTTGCTATTTCTCCCTCCCCCTCATCCCCCCCCCCTCTGCCCCCCCCTAGCTGTTACATGCTGCACCTGCACACGGGCCCCATTCGAGAGGCCCGACGGTTGCTGAGGGGCCCCCAGGCCGCATGTCCAACAGACATGCGCCCTGGAGGTCCACGGCGGCCCACAGGCCACAGATTGCAAATAAAGGTGGCGTTTATTTATTTCATTACTTACTTGCTGTCCTATTTTTGGTCTGTGCAGACGTCGTTTCGGACCTGCAGGCACCAAGGCAACACGAGGCCCTTCCGAAGCCAGGCGCGTGTTGGCGCCTGACTATGGTCCTACTTTCGTCGGTACAGACATCGTTTCGGACTGCAGGCACCAAGGCAACGCCTTGGGCCAGGTACACAGAAACGAGGCCGTTCCGGGGCCAGGCGCATTTTTGCGCCTTGCTGCGTCAGCAGCACAGTCTGGACACCCGGTAGGGGCCCAGACCGGCTGGGCCGTTTCGAGGCCAGCACCAGGCAGACCCAGCCTCACCCAGCGCTATATATAGCTGGGTAACGGCTGGGTACACACAGTTCGGGTAGCTCACTTCTGGAGCGACACGCTGCTGGACCGGCGCTGCATCTCAGCGCTGCGCTGAGGAATACAGGTAGTGGCGTAGGTAGGAGAGGGCGGAGGCCATACCTGCAGACCGCGGACTTACCTGGCGCCATAGCTGGGACCCCGCGCGCGACCTGCACAGGACAACGACAATGCGACAGTTAGTGTACAGCGGCATTCCTGCAGGTGAAACAGGGGAAGACGACAGCTTCTTCTTCCTTCGTCCCCCCTCCATCTCATCTCTCTCCTCCCTACTTCCTCTTCTTCTTCTTCATCTTCTTCTTCTCAGATGTGAGAGTGAGAGAGGTTACAGGCAGAGGATACAGGCAGAGGATAGAGGCAGAGGTTACCATGGGCATTGCACCCAGGATCTGATTCGACATTTCTGACGCAGACATTGATTGGACATCGGCAAGGGATTATTTTCTTGACTTCGCTATTGCGAGCTTGGTCTTCTCCCTCGCCTCCATCTTCATGTCTCCACTTCCCCCCATCTCTCATCTGTGGTGCCTCCCCATGTGCGTGTACAAGGAGGGACCTTTCTTCTTGGTGTGCGGTCGCTCCTCCTCCTCTCACATGTGTAACGTATGATGGGATGATGTCCTGTCAGTCCCGGTCAGGTCAGGACTTCGCTTAAAGTCTTCCACTGCGCTACTATGTACCATTTTGTATCTATCAGGATGTACATTGCGTGTTGATGTTCCACTAACATTGCATTGTCCATTCAGTCCTTTTTGTCACACTGCGGATTCTTTGCTCTACCTACATTGCCCAACTGGGCATGTATCATTAGTACGCTTCTCTCCCTCTCCCTCATTTCCTCCCCAACCCCCCCCTATCACCCTTTTCTATCCATCTCATTCTCGTTTCTTCGGCCGTCTTTCGACTGCTGTTGGCATGATGCAGTGGATGGATGTTATTTCCTGGGGTTGTGACTTTGCTATTTTTTTTTTATTTTTTTTTTTTCCAAGGACAGTTCGAGGCCGGGGACCTCACAATTCAACCTGCGGGGGGGTTATCCCAGGAGCCTTACCCAGTTTCGCTTCTGAGCCTCCGCTTGCGACAGACTCCTGTCTGTCCCAGTCTCTTCACTCATCTGCTATCCCTAGGTATTCTACTGAAAATCCACCCTAAAACCCCTGGGGCCCAGCTCACACCCACTCCTCTCAGCTGTGAGGCTGTCAGCTTGGATTATTTAGCAACAGCAGATTTTTTGTTGTAAAATTGGTTATGGGACTTGAAGATATGGAATGGGGAAGGTTCCGGTTCAACGAATCGACGTGAGGATGCGAACGAGAGAGGCAGAAATATGCGGTGAGTCCTTCGGGACATCCGTTAAAATTGGAACGATACAGAGAAGATTAGCATGGCCCCTGCGCTTTCAAGGATGACACGCATAAATCGAGAAATGGTCC